GGGGAGGGGCAAGGGGGGGTGGGTGGGGCAAGATGCATGCCATGGGCCACACAGACGAGCGCGGCACAGCGACCATGTCGCCCTCTTTCTTCCACTTGTGCGCTCCAGTGGTGGCTGGCCCTGCTGTCTGCTGTTTGTATGCTGTTTGTTGCTGCCTCAAGGCAAGGCAAGGCAAGGCAAGGCGGAATGTCATGTCGTCTTTTTCTGTATAATAGGCTTTTTCGTAGAATCACCAGCACAGGGGAGGGCCCCGTGCCCTCGTGCCCTCTCCTCCTCGCTGTGCGCTGCGTTGCGAGCGGCGTTCCGCCTTCCTGTGTACATACTTCCACTTCCACTTCCACACATACATAACATAACACACAAGCAACCAACACATTTGCGTGGCGTGCATGTCTCTAGAGCTATGTGTATGGTGCGTGTGTGCGTGGGGGTGGCATCAGCTAGTTGGGGTGAGATGAGATGAGGTCACGAGAGAGAGACCGACCAGAGTGAGTGCCTTTTTCGTGATTGATGGGTGCAGTGCATCCAATCCAGGGCCGTAAGGGAGGGACCTTTTCCGATGTCTCTGTCCTCTTCTTCTGAGACACATTTTCCCCGTCCCTCCCTCATGGACACGGCATGGAGCATCCATTCCAGCCGTGTGTCGTCTGTACATGGTGTGGTGTGAGGGTGGCAAAGCGGGGGTCACGCTCGCTCATCCGTCCAGTGTCGCGTCTCTCGCTCGCTGGTGATCCACTGTGGGTGTGTGTTACGTGTTGGGGGCTCCTGTTAGCACAGGAGCCCCTCAAACCGTGACATGAGCTCGCGCATGGTTCTGAGTGAGTGGGACACGTGAGATTGGCGTGAGCGCAAGGCAAGGTGGTTTTTAAGTAGGGTGAGTGACTCATGAGAGGAGGGGGAGAGAAGGGGCGTGCGGCGCCTGTGTTGTGGTGGGCCTGAATGAATGATAGCACGTATGGACACGACGATGAGCAATTGGCTCAACCATTACATTGCAGCGATGCAGATTCGTTGGCGCCGTTCAAGTACCTGTACAAGTCCAGCACGCAGTTGTCAGTCTACCCCGCGCCAGCCACCGATGACAGCACACACACATGCAGTACATCGTCATCGTGGCACCCCTCTCTCCCTTTGCACCATCTGCACCATTCTACAGCTACGATGGGGCGGCCGACCTGACGGACAGCAATGCAGCCCAACACACACCACCGGCAGTGGAGAAGCGCACGCATACAAGGGAGCCGAACTGTACCTGTCGTCTTTCGTCAGGTGTCAAGGCGTATGAGAATGATCTCATATAATCTTCCCCCCAGCCGATGACGTACCGGCCTTCAATCCCCTCGATCGTGTCGCCGTGAGTGCGCTCCTCCACCAGCCGAGCGAAGGAGGCGCTGGCCAGCGGATAGAAGGTGAGCTTCTTGATGCCGCGGATCTTGAGCAGCGACCTGACGCAGGCAATGCCGAACTCACCAGCGGCATCGCCATCGCCCAAATCCTCGGGCACTGCACACAGACAGAGAGGCAGTAGTCACAACGGCCAGCAGGCTGGTCCAAGCGGTTATTTGCAGCTCACCTTCTAGACTAACACTCAGTTCTGAGATGGCCGGCCTTCACGAAGTCGGCATGGAAGGACTTCAACTCCCTCTCCCCACCCAACGCCTGCAGCACCGCCACCGCTTGCTCTGTCGGCCTATGTAAGAAGATGCTCTTCACGACGGGCATCTTTGTCACCAGCCTGCGGCTGATCGCGAGCCCCTTGTTGCTGTAGCTGCACAGCAACGATGCGGCGGGGAATGCGTTGGGGGGCATGCTGTCGAGCACAACCGGGTCGGACTCGTCGGCGTCAGGCTCCAAGTCGCCATTGATCATCACCCTCTCCGCCTTGGGGAATGTCAGGCAGTGTGCGAGGGACCGAGCAGCGGGGCTGGCCGTGTCGAGAGGGCCGGTGGTGGTGAGACGGTGGGAGCAGATGGTGAAGCATGGACGCTGTGATGCGGCTGCCAGCTGCTGGAGGCGCTTCTGCACGAAGGGGGAGGGCTCCGGGCGGGTGGGGACCTCACATAGGAGCGACAGCTCGAAGTCCTGGCGCGTCCTGATGCCGACGGGGATGTCGGGCCTCACACACACGGTGCGGGTCAAGGCCTCCATGGCCTGCAGGGTCTCGAAGATGCGGCTGTCGATGCGGTAGTCCTCGAGCGTGACGCTGAGCTTTTTGATGGAGCGGCAGCCACGGTCGACGAGGACAGCCTGCACACAGACACACGCACATCACAAGCAAGCTCTCGCCCTCCCTCTCTGGCCTTGTGTGTCTTGTGTGGTTCGTCGCATACCTGAAGGCGCTGCAGACCCGCAGCGCTAGCATGCATGCTGAGGGTCCCGATGTCCTCCAGCTGCGACAGGGGGCCCGGCTGGCCAGCAGCTGCCTTGGGGATCTGCGCCAGCATGCCGGTCATGACGTTAGGGTGGCAGCCCACCTGCAGCTCCTTGAGGCGCCGCGACGTGGCCACCAGCTCCCCCAACGACTCCCGCCGCACCGTCCCGTCTATCTGCACCGTCTCGAGTGACGGCAGCTGCCAGTGCCGCCCGTTGCCGACACAGAGGCCAGTCAGGCCGGTGAGGGATGTGAGGGATGCGAGGGTGGGGGGCGGGTCGATGGGAGGGGGGAGTGACGCCGACCGCTGTTCGGCAGCTCGGAAAGTGCGACCCTCAGCCTCGTCGACGGTTACGCTCGAGTCGAATTTGCTGAATTCTATGGACTCGAGCGTGCTCCCCGCCTGCTGCCCGGTTGCTGTGGCCGCAGCGGCTCTCCGCCCCTCGCTGTGCCCCTCCACCAATGCCGTGACGATCTTGTCCCTCATGTACGGCAGAGAGTGGGTTTCACGAGCGTATCGCCGAACAGGAGTCCCTCCTGGGATGAGGAGGGCAAAGGGATACCGGTTGACGATGGACTTGAGCCGTGTGAGCCACTGGCCCCATTCGAAGGCATCGCTGAACGACAGGCCGCACCAGAATCGCCGCTCGGCCGTGTCGTGGGTGTCCATGACCAGCCGTGTGATCTGGCAGCCGACGTGGCGCCAGAGCCGCTGGGGCAGCGCCGCCACCAAATGAAGCGACAGGAACGAGAAGACGTAGGCAACGACAACAGGCTGAGTGCACAACACACACACACAGAGGAAACAATAACGATTTGTGCTAACGTTTGGTGCTGTATAGACACTCACTGCATTCCCTCCTCTATCCCAGTCTGTCTCCCTTCCCATCGTCTTACAATTTGCCTAAATTGCTGTGCGAAGGCCTCCAGATCTATGGTGTGCGATGGCGTGGCCTGCTGCTGCTGCGGGCTGTCGGTGTCCATCATCGCCTCGTCGTGTCCATCTTTCAACTCATCCTCCTCTGCCTCCGCCGCCCGCCTCTGTCGCTTCGGTGCCGACTCACTCATCGCCCAACTGTTCATCTACCAAACGGGCACCGCCTGACAGCGGCTGTCGATGGCGCCGCGACACGGGCCAGCATGTGCTGCGCAAATGAGCGACACCCAACAATGCACCAATTAGGGACACCGCATTCGATGTGTATAATGGGTGTATGGGTTCGTCTGGTGACGTCTTCACAACTCCTGGTCAGGGTTTGTGCAAACCCAGAACCCTGCTGCCCAGAAACCTGCCACCTCCCAACCTCCAAAATGACTGCAGCGGCCATTCTGTTCACCATCTTCCTCTGCCTGACCATCGCCCTCGCGCTCGCCACCATCCTCGTGTACGTCTACTTCCAGTCGCTCAAGAACCAAGTGCGACACAGACACAAAGACAAGCGCCAAGCCGAACAAGATGGCCATTATGCCGATGCGGATGCGACCGAACTGACTCAGCTGGACGAGCTCGATGAGGAACTCGATGAGGACTATGCGAGAGAACACGGCGAGGGATCTCCACCATTCAGCACCTCTTACGCCGGGCCGGGCGCTTCTGAGGCTGCGTCTGCATCTGCTGGTGAGGCATGGGAGGCGTCTGGCGATGCTCTGAGGGCGAGCGCTGCGGCGAGGCGAGTGCGGCCATTCGATGAGGCCGTCCGGCGACAGCAGCTGGAGGCCGAGCAGGAGTGCTACCATCTATTCAGAGACCTCCAGCATCAGCAGGCATCCGTCGACAGCAAGCTCGCCACTCTGCGGCAGCTCCGCGGGCTGCTGGAGGGTCTGGATACGACGTTTCGGGTGAACAAGCCGGCCTTGGTGACGGCGCAGATCATGTGTTGCAATGTGCTGATGAAGATGGACGGGCTGGACACATTGCAGGGGTGCAAGGAGGACAAGAGGCTGGAGGAGCACGCACAGTGGATCATAGAGAAGGTCGTGCCCATTATCTGGTCCAACTGACTGGTGTGAGAGAGGGGCGGAGACAGCCATGTGGGCGGGGCTGCGGCGCTCACTCATGATGTAGGTACTGATCGATTCGTGTGTGTGTGTGTGTGTGTGTGCGCGTGTGTGTGTGATTAGTGTAGAGTACGTGTGCCCTGCGGCATGACCTTCCCGTGCGTGTGGGCCGGTCTATCTATAGTGAATGCTCTTGCGTCAAGTGAGCAGAGCTATAGTGGCTGTGGCGGGTGATCAGGCTGTGGCGCGTCTGGGTGACAAGTCTTAAGCCGACAGACACATGGAACGTACCACATCAGCCAATGAGCGATTGTGTCTTCACGCCCACATCTCCCTCTCTCTCTCTGTCTCTCTGTGTGTGTGTGTTGCGACGTTGCAGCTGTGATGGATGCCGAGTCTCGGTTGAAGGCCAAGGAGGCGGACCTCCGTGCAGTCGAGTCGGCTCTCGAGCAGAAGATGGCCGCGACTCACGAGAAAGAAGAGACCGCCAAGGCCGCTCTCGCCGCCCAAGACAAAGCCGCCAAGGAGAGCCTCAAGACACAACGGTGGGTGGTTGAGACAGACACGACGTGATGGACGCACGATGGCATTGGTCTGGAAAGGTGCGTGTCTCATCTTTGCATGTGTGTGTGTGTGTGTGTCATTCGTTGACGTAGTGAGGCCGCTGAGTCTGCAGTGCTCGAGGACGCGAGAGCCGCTGCTGAGCTGGGCGGCGAGGCCGCAATGACGGCCATGGCGTCCACCATGGCACGCCAGAGTTAACCCACAGACAGACAGACAACATCCGTCTCATTTGCGTGGAATCATGAGAGGCGTTGGATGAGTGGAGAGTTGAGTGACTTCATGAATATAGCAGCAAATGCAAACCCACACCCCAAACAAATCACGGACGAATCGAGCAGACACAATCATTGCAGGTGGACTGGCTGCATTCCAAAGAATGCAGCCGTTTGAATAACGGTCTTGGTGCGAGCTTGCTTCGTCTGGTGCCCGACGTCATGAGTTGGGTGGCTCCGATTCGGCGCTGTCGGCGAAGATCTGGCCTTTGATGCGGTTCGCAGCGGCGAAGGGGGATGATTCGGCGACGGACAGCGGGCAGTGCAGCCACCTGCGGTCACATCTGCACGAGTGCGCTGGACCTGCTCTCCGTTCTACTCATCCACCATCGCTCTATCGGCATCGTTCGAGGTAGCCAGCGACTGCTGCTGCTCACCACGGCCACCCCTTATGTAGCTCATGTCACCTGCCGCACCGGCCTTGCCTGCAAGACCAAGCAGCGGGAGGGTGGTTTGATCTTAGCGTGGAGGACATTGGTGTGCGTGTCGGCGTTCCTCACGATGGCCATTGTTGCTCTCGGTGCGCCAATCAGGGAGCTACTAAGCTGCGCCCTGCTCGGCATCCAGCTGACCTGTGGCATCCTTGCGCCAGCCGTATGTAGTCGCGAGCTCGACGCAGTTATGCATTTCGTCTTCGAATGGGCTGCTGGAAGGCGAGTGAGCCATCGCACACGCACCACTGGCTGCAGGGCACCACGCCGCGTTCTTTTGTGTGTCGTTTTATTATTTGGCAGCGACGAGGGTGAGAGCCAAGCGGCCTCTGAGGCTATATCCGCTCCGACACGAGAGCTGCGAAGACGCCAGAAGCCTGCTCCTCCTGATGGAAATGTGCCACGGGACGACGACACGTGCGAGAAGACCTCGGCGCGTGACAGTGGGAGGGTGGCGTTGGTTCACTTGCTGCCTGGCGTGTGTGGTGTGTTGTTTGCGTGGCTGGGTAGTGTGTATGTGCCCCTTGATTGGGACGTCGAGTGGAAGAAATGGCCTTTGCCGTGCGTGCTGGGCAGTCTGATCGGTCGGGGCCTCGGTGCATTGCTTGCTTTAAGAGTGACTTGAACGAACGTTTGTGTGCATGTGTCAACATTTATTCATTTGGCATCTCGTCATTCATGCACACACGCTGTCCCTCATAAACTGTCTGTCTGTCTGTCTGTCTGTCTGTCGTTGCTTCACTTGGCGTCGGCCTGGGGTGGTGGTTTCTCTCCCTCGAGCTCGATGTCCTCTTGTGAGACGGTGCACGGCACCTTCCTGGGCGTGAAGATGTCTTCGTATGCTGCTGACACGCCACGCTCGAAGTCACTCAACTCCCCTGCACACACCCCACACACAGATGCATGCCGCACACACACGTCGTGGACACAGACCTTTGTATCGTTCGGCGTCGATGCGTCCCTCTGGCATCTTGGCCTCTCTCTTCTTCTTTCTCAACAGCAGCTGAGCCTGCACATGACGCACACGACACACACTCATCGATGGGACACACACCCACCCACTGTCTGTGTTTGCACCCACCCACCTGTTTGAGCATTTCCCTGGCCTTCTCCTTGGTGAGGGGCACCTTCTTCTTGTGGCACGGCAACGTTGCTGCTGCTGCTGCTGGTGGGGCGGCGGGGGCAGCCAAGCCGTGCTCCGCCTCGTACTCGGCCGCCAGGCGGTCGATGTCGGCTGCGGAAGGCAGCTGGCGTGCCATGCCAGTGGACGCCATGGCCGTCATTGCGGCCTCGCCGCCCAGCTCAGCAGCGGCCCTGGCGTCCTCGAGCACTGCAGACTCAGCGGCCTCACTACGTCAACGAATGACACACACACACAGACAGACATGCAGAGATGAGACACGCACCTTTCCACACCAATCAATGAGTGTGTCCATCACGGCGTGTCTGTCTCAACCACCCACCGTTGTGTCTTGAGGCTCTCCTTGGCGGCTTTGTCTTGGGCGGCGAGAGCGGCCTTGGCGGTCTCTTCTTTCTCGTGAGTCGCGGCCATCTTCTGCTCGAGAGCCGACTCGACTGCACGGAGGTCCGCCTCCTTGGCCTTCAACCGAGACTCGGCATCCATCACAGCTGCAACGTCGCAATACACAGACACACACACGCACACACACACACACACAGAGAGAGAGAGAGAGAGAGAGATGTGGGCGTGCAGAGACAATCACTCATTGACTGATGTGGGTACCTTCTTTGTGTCCATCAGTGGTGGCCTCTGGTACCTCGGGAATGACGCCACTAGCGCGGAGCGAGCCCACGGCACGCTGCAGGCGGACAATCTCTGCGCAGGCACGACACTTTGTCACTCAACCTGGCCACAGACTGACAGCCGCACCGAGACGCAACAGCCAGAAGCAAGAGAGCAATGAGCACGCTGAGACGAGCCATGACGTCAAGCAAACAGTCGCTTGAGTCAAGGCTTTGGGTTGAATATGTGCTTCACTTACGGCTGTCGATCGTATCGTGCTGTGTACGTATGTGTGACAGACAAATACGTATGCGTCCACACGTTGGTACGATCGATTCTTTGATGTGATGTTTCTTTGTTTGTTGGGTGTGCATGTATATATCGGCTATCCTTAACACCGGCCGATGTGTTGGTACGATCGATCAGTGTCTGCGTCTCGAGCCCTGCCATAGAATACAGCAGACAGAGCCAGCGCATGCACTAATGCACGCATGTCGTAGTCACAAGACCTCACAACGTACGGCCAGTCAGTCAGTTAGTCATTCAGCCACACATCGTGTCGGTCGTTTATCTCTCTCTGTCTCGAACCGATCTATCTGTGTGTCATGCAGGCCTGAGCCGCGTGCTGCGCCACGAAGAAGTGATACTGGCCCGGATGCCCGCCGCTCACGAGCTGTAAGAGCTGCCCTCCTCTCGGCGACTGCACCGCACCACCGATGCTCCCTCCGTGGTACTGCGTGTGGGGCAGCTGGTGATGATGCTGATCTGTGGCAGGATCGTAGATGAGAGGATGGCGCATTGGAGGAGGCGAAGCTGCGATACGGGGCGGCAGGTGCGCATAGCTCTGGAAGGCCACGAGTCCGGACGCCGATGCCGGTTTGGGTATGCCGATGGTGCTGGTAGACGGATGGTGGAAGAGTGCGGTGCTGCCAGCCACTTTAGCTCCGTCTCGCGCCATGCTGCTGCCGCCCTTCAGGTTCAGCGCAGGCGCGTTCAGTGACTGCAGGTTCAGTCGCGGCACGGTGGCCTTTGGGTGGTTGGCTTGTGCGTCTGGGGACCTCTTCTTGAAGAGCGCCTGAGCTGGCCGTCCACTGAAGCCATCGAGTGATGGCGCACGGGGCGCCGGGGGCGGAAGTTCTTCATTCTGCTGCTGGTCTCTTGGGGACTGAGGGGCGTATTGAGTGACTCGATTGGGTTGTGCCTGCTCTCGGGAGGGAGACGGCTGCAGATGGAATGCGGGAGGCTGCAGGGCGATGTAGCTGTCATAGCGCGAAAGGGGTGCCCTTCCACGGCCATGTCCAGGATAGTGATGGCTTTCCTGAATCCGTGGCCCCATCACGGCTCGTGTGCCGCCTCCCTGGCCCCGTGGCGACAAGTTGTTGGCTGTCGCGCTGGGCCGGGTGGTCTCTCGCATTACCATCATTCGCGTGAGGTCCCCTCGCTGCGGCGTCATGTGTGTCCTCGCCGTCTGCAGGGGCGGCACGTAGAGGGGGATTGCCGCATCCCGATGGGCCGGTGGATAGGGGGGATGGGGCGCCAGACCATAGCAGGCGTGCTTGGGCGGGGTGGGGCACGGTACTGGCACATGAGGTCGGTGGTGCTGGTGCTGGTGGTGTATATGCGGCGGCACGGCCATCCACTGCTCGTGGCCTCCATGAAATGGGTAGTCCATGAAATGCGCCGTCGACGCCGAGTTCTTGAGTTGCGTGTGGTGGACGGGTGGCGGCCGATGGTGCGCAGGGCCGCCTTGCAAGAGATCGGTGCTGCTCATGCAGTGGGCAAAGTGCGGAGCATGTGGCTTCGGCCGATGGGTAGCATTGCGGCTGCGGGAGTAATGTCGGTAGCGGTCATCAGCCATCGAGAAAGGCCGGTTTGGCTCCTCAATATATGGGGCTGGCGGCACTCCCACCCCCGTCAGCTGCTGGTAGATGGCGTGTGCGATGGAGTTGGCGTCTCCCTGCGCGTGGGGATTCATGGCGAACTGGGCTTGGAGACGCCTGCTCTCGGCCTCGACGGCATACTGCTGCTGCAGCTTCTGCACTCTGCATGATAGTACGAAAGGGGGACATGAGACACGAACAACACACGAGAGAGAATCGTGTGGCTCTTGCTCACATGTATCGATTGCCGTAGGGGTCCACTTCCCGGTCAGGATGCGCCGTCGTAAAGAACCTCTCCCACTCCTGCAGACAAAAACGCTGCTTTATGGTCCCAAGGGACAGGGTAGTTGGAACAGTGTCGTGAAGGCCCACGGCGAGATCATATGCGTCGGCCGGTTCTGCGCCGAGGCCCACGTTGTGCTGGAGGAGCCACGCCAGAGACCCCACATATGGAAAAGGAAGGCTCTGAACACAAGCAGAGTCGGACACCACAAAAAAGCAGGCAGGCCCCTCGGCCACTCATGGTGAGTGAAGGATGACCAAACGCTTCCTTGACTAAACTACACGGCTTGCCTCTCCATATGCGACAAACTTTCTCCTGAACGTCCAGAGCTTCCACTTGTGCTGAATCTTCCCCGCCGCAAGCTGCCGCCTCAGCTGCATCATCAACATATCCTTCCTCGCCTGCCAGTCGCCATCCCTCGATCCCTTGCCCGTCCCCCGCCTCGGGTCTTTCTTGATGGGCGAATCGGGTTTCTCGTCCATGGCGTCTTCCTGGTGGTCAGTAGGAGCCACGCGCTGACGCATCAGGTGGTCAAACCACTTGTAGCGCGTCTGCAAGTGGGGGAAGTCGCGCTTGGCCTGTGCACGAAGGGCGGCGAAGTCCCTGCGTACATCAACGAAGAGGATGTGCACATATCGGCGACAGCAAGAGAGATAGACAAAGAGAGAGGCCACCCACCTCTCCAGGGAAAGGCTTTCCAGTTGCAGCTCGGCCACCTCCGCACACAGAGTCTCACGCCTGTGTCTCTCCGCCAGCCGTTTCGAGTCGTCCCGAGCCGACATGGGCCGCCTCTCGGCCTCTTTCAGTATATGAAGTGGCAGCTTGAGGGCCGATGTGGTCAGCCGTTTCTGTCGCCTGTCTGGTGTGACAATGAGGTGGCCGCTAGAGTTGAGGGATGAGTTCTCTCCGCTGGATGTGGACGTAATGGACCGGTGGCGATCGGTAGGGCGAGGGTGGGGCTTGTCGTGAGTTGTATCCACAGAGGGGTGGTCGGATGGGTGGTCCATCGACTGTGAGAAAGAAAAGAGACATCCGGCCAGTTTCCTACCACTCCCATTCTCACTCACCCCATGTTTCTGCTGTTTGTCCGGTTGCGTGTCTCCCTCATCTTCACCCATGGCATGCCGCCTGTGCTGCAGTCCCAGAGCGGTCATCCCGCGGCGGACATCCCTGACCTCACCGCCACTGCCGCCCCCATCCCTATCCTCCTCCCCATCTTCCTCAGGCACCCTCCCCAGCACTGGAGCGGCTGCGCTCCGCCTCACCTGCCGCTCCCTCTCAGCCGCGGGAGACAGGTCATACGCCCCATCGTGTTCAGTCACCATCCCCTCCGCAACACAGATCTCGCGACGCAGTTCAAGCTTCAGCCGGTCGGGCCGCGAGTCCGCCGGCAGACTGAGACGTGGGGCGTCCTTCCAGACCTTCTTGCGCCCGTGGGCGTTGACCTCGTCCGTGTCTCCCTCCTCTGCTCGCTTGTCCTTCTGTCCAGTGCGTCTCGGTGTCAGAGGCAGGGAGGGAGTCTGTCGCTTCCCGCTACTTTTCTGGCCAACAGGCGGGGGAGGCGGAACGTATATCGGCGCTGGCGCAGGGGGCGGGGGAGGAGTGGGGCGGTCTGCTGCACGTTTCCGTGTGTCAGGAGTGGCCTGGGGTGCAGGAGTGATACCCAGAAGGCCAGAACCTCCTCTGCTGCCTTTCTGTGCCGATAGAGGGAGCTGGTAGTGGCTCATCGCGCCCCGACTGGCCTCCACTCCTCCTTGTTTTGGCGTCTCCTCGTGTTTCTTGGCCCTCGAGTGAGAGTCGAGACGAAGAGAGGGCCCTGGGATGTATGCAGGCCTCGGAAGGACGGATGGGTCGGGAATGCACGGGCTGTCCTCCTCTTCAGGGGTGACCGTCCGCTTGCGCATCTGTCTGGTGCCAGCAGCAGCAGCCCGATCACGGTCCTCTCGGCTGGCCCCCGCCCTCGCTCTCCCATCTGCTGACCCATCGGTCTCACTCGTCCGTGCCAGTACCGCTCTCGTCGCTTTCTTGGGATTGGCGAGCTTGAGCTGCACCTTCTGCGTTGCCACAGCAGGGCTGTGGGGTCCAGGTCGACGTGGGAGACCAGCCGACGGCCCGGCCCCCTTCCCGATGTTGGCCATCGTTGTCTGCCTGTTCATCCGCATGGCCGCCGACTCTTCCTTCGGCAGCAGCAGCGATTGCTTCAGTGTCTTGGTGAGCATGGGTCCAGGCGGCTGGTTCGCAGAAGTTGCCAGCACACTTGCGCGGAAATCGGGTCGGCCAGAGAGAGTGACGGGTGGTTGGTTCATCGGGGCGTGAGAGCACTTCTTGGGCTGATAGTAGAAGGCAGGGGATGGGCCAGCGGCTGGCCCGTTGCGCACGAGACGGGGACTCATCAGGCGAACGACGTTACTGCTGGGTGGTGGGCCTTGGCTGATTCGGGGCTGGGGCAGGTCGTAAAGGGCCAGGCTCAGCGAAGGCGCGGGGATGTTGGCAGTAGGCAGCGGGTGGGGGAAGTGTGGCTGCTGCTGGAGGGAAGCTCTCGTCATGTGTGCGCGAGACGGTGTGAGGTCGAATGGGGAGCCGCCGTGTGAGGACGAGAGCTGCCGATGGGTGGGAGTGGCATTGTGTGTCAGATGAAAGATGTTGGCAGGGGCCTCACTGCCGTTCAGCATAGCTGCGCCCTCTCCTTAGTGGCGAGTCGGATGGTACGAATGCCGTCAGAGAGGAGAGGGGGAGATGGGGGCCCTGTGACGGAAGACGAGACAGATCTCTGAAGTGGGGCACTCTTTGTTGATTTGCAATGTCAAATGACTGATCAATGGTCACAGGCATACCAAACAGCCTCCAGAGGCTGAGGGCGGAAATGCAGAAATCTGGGGTTATAGGGTACGAAACCCTTTGAATCCCCACGTTGCACCGTATATGCGGTGTCCCTATCGATGCCCGTGTGTCGTTTGCGCAGCACATGCTGGCCCGTGTCGCGGCGCCATCGACAGCTCGACAGCCGCTGTCAGGCGGAGCCCGTTTGGTAGATGAACAGTTGGGCGATGAGTGAGTCGGCATCCAAGCGACAGAGGCGGGCGGCGGCGGAGAGAGCGGAGGATGACTCCGAAGACGGACACGACGAGGCGATGATGGACACCAACAGCTTGCAGCAGCAGAAGCAGCAGAAGCAGGCCACGCCATCGCACTCCATAGATCTGGAGGCCTTCGCACAGCGATTCAGCCAAATAGTAAGACCTGTGCGATCAGATGCACCAAACGGTTAGCACACATCGTTATTGTTTCCTCTGTGTGTGGTGTGTGTTTGTCGACGCAGCCTGTTGTCGTTGCCTACGTGTTCTCATTCGTGTCGCTCCATTTGGTGGCGGCGCTGCCGCAGCGGCCCTGGCGCCACGTCGGCTGCCAGATCACCCATTTGGTGATGGATGCCTACGACACGGCCGAGCGGCGATTCTGGTGCGGCCTGTCGTTCAGCGATGTCTTCGAGTGGGGGAGGCGGCTCACGGGGCTCGAGTCCATTGTCGTCCGGTGTCCCTTTGTCTTCCATCTCCCGGGCCGTCTCAGTCTGCCCGTCCCAGTCACTTCCTATGGCCTCCCGGCGCGGATAGATGACAAGATCGTCACGGCATTGGTGGAGGGGCACAGCGAGGGACGGAGAGCCGCAGCGGCCACAGCGGCCACAGCAGCCGGGCAGCAGGCGCCAACCACCTTGGAGTCGATAGAATTCAGCAAATTCGACTCGACCATAGTCGTCGACGAGGCCGAGGGTCGCGACATCATAGCTGCCGAGCAGCGGGTGGCGGCCCTCCCTCGTCCCCTCGACCCGGCCCCCACCCTCACATCCCTCACATCCATCACAGTGCAGTCGTTTTCTGGGTGTCCCGGCCGTGGGCGGCACTGGCGGCTGCCGTCACTCGAGAGGGTGGTGCAGATAGACGGGAGGGTGCGGTCGGAGGTGTTGGGGGGGCTGTTTGCCACGTCACGACGCCTCAAGGAGCTGCACGTGAAATGCCGCCCTAACGCCATGGCGGACTCGCTGAGGTGCATCCCCACAGCAGCTGCGGGTCAGCCGGGGCCGCTGTCGCAGCTGGAGCACATCGGGACCCTCTGCATGCCGAGTGCTAGCGCTGAGGGTCTGCAGCGCCTTCAGGTATGCGACGAACCACACAAGACACACAAGGCCAGAGAGGGAGGGCGAGAGCTTGCTTGTGATGTTCGTGTGTCTGTGTGCAGGCTGTCCTCGTCGACCGTGGCTGCCGCTCCATCAAGAAGCTCAGCGTCAAGATCGAGGGCTCCGACATCGACAGACGTATCGACAGCCGCATCTTCGAGACCCTGCGGGCCATCGGGGCCTTCACCCGCACCGTGTGTGTGAGGCCCGACATCCCCATCGACATCAAGACGCGCCAGAACTTCGACCTCTCTCTCCTGTGTGAGGTCCCCACCCGCCCGGAGCCCTCCCCCTTCGTGCAGAGGCGCCTCCAGCAGCTGGCCGCCGCATCAGAGAGAGCCTGCTTCACCATCCGCCCCCACCATCTCACCACCCCTCTCGACACGCCCAGCCCCGCTGCTCGGTCCCTCGCACACTGCCTGACATTCCCCAAAGCGGAGAGGGTGATTATCGAGGATGGTGACCACTTGGAACCTGACGCCGAGCAGCCCGACCCAGTAGTGCTCGACAGCATGCCCCCCAACGCATTCCCCGCCGCATCGTTGCTGTGCACCTACAGCAGCAAGGGGCTCGCGATCAGCCGCAGGCTGGTGACAAAGATGCCCGTCGTGAAGAGCATCTTCTTACGGAAGCCGACAGAGCAAGCGGTGACGGTGCTGCAGGCATTGGGTGGGGAGAGGGAGTTGAAGTCCTTCCATGCCGACTTCGTGAAGGGTGTGGGTGAGGGGGGGCTCACGTGGGGGGACGTGGCGGCTGCCGGCCATCTCAGAACTGCGTATTAGTGTAGAAGGTGAGCTGCAAATAATCGCTTGTACCAGCCTGCTGACCGTTGTGGTGACTACTGCCTCTCTCTCTCTGTCTGTGTGCAGTGCCCGAGGATTTGGGCGATGGCGATGCCGCTGGCGAGTTCGGCATCGCGTGCGTCAAGTCCCTGCTCAAGATCCGCGGCATCAAGAAGCTCACCTTCAAGCCGCTGCCCAGCGACGCCTTCAAGCGGCTGGTGGAGGAGCGGACACACGGCGACGCCATCGAGGGTATTGAGGGCCGGTACGACATCAGCTGGACGGGGGGATATCTTGAAAATACGCTCACTCTCAAGCGGCTTGACGCCTGACAGAAGATTACAGGTACGATATGGCTATCCTGCGTCGATGTGTGTGATGTCCTGCAGTGTTGGTTTCATGTGTGTATGTCAGGTCGGCCCATCTATAGCTGATGTGTAGAATGAGCTGCAGAGAGAGGGAGGGAGGGATGGGTGCCGTGCCACGGTCATGGAGGGGTGCTCTCGTGTGCGGAGACGGCAGCAGTGAATGGGTCTTGATAGACAGCTACATGACATGACGGCCCCCCCGTGGCTGTCCATACGTGTCTGTCTGCCTCTCTGGATGAGGGCTGCGTAGAGATGTGAACGACTCCTTAATTGCATGGGCGGCTGGAATTGAGCGTGTGTGCTTATGTATTATATATGTCTGTCTCTCTCTCGCTGCCTGCCTGGCCGTCTGATGATTCGGAAAAGTTGACAGCTCGCGGACAAAGGCTGCCGTGTCTATATCGGAGTTGATGAATCGGAGGGTGGTGTTGTCTGGCTTGAAGAGAGAGTCATGGAGTTTTGAGTGAGTGAGTGACTGCATGTGGACTCATTTCTGTGCATCGAATCGATCGATGTGCACTATATTCCCCACACGTGCGGACATGAGCAATACAATGCAATCAATGCTCACACACACACGTCTGTCAGTCAGTCCATCACAACAGCCAGGCAGACAGGCCGGTACACACGCATGGACTACACACACAGAGGAGAGAGCGACCGATCTCAGCCATTCCTCCATGACATACCACACACACACACACACACACAAATACACACATACACAGAGCAGCGAGAGAGGGCGGGCGGCCGGGCGGTGTCCCACAAATGGAGGGGGCCTGACACGTCACTGCGTGAAGGTACATCCATTGTTTGTGTGTGGTGTGTGCGATCAGACAGGCGGCGAGGGTGCATGTCCCCTCGACGCAATCGACTATTAAGGATAGATCGCTGCCGTTGATGCATTGATGACAATCGTTGCCTACCTTCTATAATATCCGCTGGTTGTGTCTCCGACTTTGGTGCATTGAGGTGACGACAGACGATGGATGCTGGCGGGGTGGGCAAAGACTGATTTAGCAGGCTGACATTGATGGCCGTGCTTGCAGTGACTTTCTTGCACATACATGCAATGGATTGATGCGGTATGCATACGCCCACTGATGCACACATGAATGGAGTCGGTCTTTCGGTCTGTGGTCACTGTTCGATAGTCATCTGTCTGTCATCATCTTCACCATCGGATGGACGGGCGACTCTCACTCATCGATACAACGCAATCTGTCGACGAACAGGAAATGACATGACACGCCGCCACACAAAGGTCAGGGTGTCCCGTACCTAGATGGACTTTGGCTTCAGCAGAAGGCATGCCCGACCATGTCGCAAGGCAACAATTCCCATCCATGCCGTCTACCCGATTGTGCCGAAGCGTCCAGGAAGGCCCTCGATGGTGTGGCCGTGTGTCCGCTCCTCCACCAGCCGCTCGAAGGAATCGAAGGCAGCCGGAGGCTCCAGCCGGAACTTGAGCTCCTCGATGCCGCGGATCTTGAGCAGAGACGACACACACGAAACGCCGAATTCGCCGGCGGCATCGCCATCGCCCAAATCCTCGGGCACTGCACACACGCGCACACACACACACACACACACACACAGGCCGCCATTGCAGCGACATTCAGCGAGGACAGCAAGCCGATGACAGACACTCTCTGCAGTTTACCCTCAACGCAAACATGCAGCCGCTCGATGCTCGGCAGCTCGCCCGCCTTGTCTCCCCACCGAAGCCCCTCCTCACTCACACCCCTCATGTGCCTGACCTCACACCGCACCGGGCCGCCGCCGCCGCCCACTGCCTCCAGCACCCCCACCGTATCCGCCTCTATCGTCTCATGCAGCTCGATATCTCTGACCGCCGGCATCTTCGACGCCAGCTTTTTGCCGATCGCGTACGCCTTGCTGCTGTAGATGTAGAGGCGCGATGCGGTGGGAAATGCGCTGGCGGGCAGCTTGTCGATCACCGTGGGGTTGGGCGGCTCGGCGTCAGCGTCAGGCTCCCACTGGGCCCCCAAGAAGCCCTCCTGCTCGAAGACCTCCACTTGGTCTGCCTTGAGGAAGGTCATGGATTGGGCGAGGGCCACGGCAGATGGGCTGGGTGTGTCGAGGGGGTGGTGAAGTGGTGGGGGCCGATGACGAAGCACGCCGTCGGTGTGTCGGCGGCCAGCTGCTGGAGGCGCTTCTGCATGAAGGGGGAGGGGGAGGGGCGGGTGGGGACGCTGCACAGCAGAGAGAGGTCGAAGATCGGGACGGCCCGCTCCGACATCGCGTCGTAGACATTGATGCTGACGGGGATGTCGGGCTTCACACACACGGTGCGCGTGAAGGCCTCCATGGCCGACAGCGCCGGGAAGATGTCCTGGTCAACGGGTCGGGTCCATCGATGAAATCCACATTGAGCTGCTTGATGGAATGACACCCACGCTCAACAAGCACGGCCTGAGAGGAATGACACAGACGGTACGGTGCACCACTCATCCCCTTCTGTGTGTGTTGTGTGCATCTACCTGTAGCCGCTCGAGTCCGTTGCGCCATTGGTTGATACTGATGTGCTCCGACTGCCCCAAGACGCCGAGTGTGCCGACGAGCTCCAGCTGTGAGAGGGGGCCGGGCTGCCCACCTCCTGCTGCCACGGGGATGACCGTCAACGACTCGGCCAGGATGTCGGGCCGTATCTCCATGTCGAGGCCCTTGAGGTGCTGTGCCGTCCGCACGAGAGGCCCAAGCACCTCGGCAGAGTCGAACTCGCCATAGTAGGCCGCCTGCACCGTGCGGAGGGACGGCAGCTGCCAGAGTCTATCATGGCGCGGGCAGTGCTTCTCGCTGAGGCCGGTGATGGATGTGAGGGCTGAGAGGGTGGGGGGAGGGTCGAGGGGAGGGGGGAGGGTGGGTGGGTTCTCTGCAATGGCCGTCACTTCGCTCATCTCGTCCATGTCGATGTCTCCTGTGGTATCACCTTCATAACCATAGTCACCTGAATGTCCATTCACGCAAATGTGTACAGACATCTCTGGACATTCTCTTCTCATGGACGCACCTGGTGGGTCAAAGTCGTCAAATGCGATGGACTCGAGTGTGCCTCCCCCCGCCTGCGCCGCCCTGCGTCCCTCTGCATGCCCCTCCACCACTGCCGTGACTTTGTCGTTCATCGCACGCTGCAGCCCCTTTCCGTAGTCCATCCGATCCCTCCATGCCCATGCCGACTGGTCGGGCACGTAGCGGAGGCATCGAACGACAATGGATTGGAGCCCCGTCAGCCGCCGGCCCCACTCGAAGGCATCGCTGAACGACAGGCGGCACCAGAAGCGCCGCTCGGCCGTGCAGTAGGTGTCCATCACCAAATGGGTGACCTGCGCGCAGACGTGGCGCCACAGCCGCTGGGGCAGCGCCGCCACCGAATGGAGGACACGAATGAGAACACACAACCAATGATAACAGGCTGCATGAACAACACACACAACAAGGCAATGATGCATACGAGTGTGCTTGTGGGGAGCTTTGTGAGTGCATCTTTCATCGTACGATCTGGCTGAAGCGCTGAGCAAAGGCGCCGACATCCACGCTGTGCTGCGCATCGTCGGACGTCTGGCCAGCATCCATCCCCGCCTCCTCGCTAAAATCGTCGCGCCGCACCGCGGCCGTTCTCTGCCGTTTCGGTGCGACTTTGCTCATTTCTTTTTGTGCAAAAAGGCAGCCGCGCGTCAAAAGGCCATGCTTGCTTGTAAACTTGAATTCCGGAGGCATGAAGAACGAATGCTCAGTGAAATGAATTCTCCGTTTGCTTGCTCTTTCGCTGTGTTTGTCTGCTGTGTGTCCATGGCCACCGATGGAAATCGCCCGGCCCTTCCGGTCCGCCAAACAAACAAATCAATCAAAGGCAAGCAATCGTCAGAACCAAGCATGCACCTCTCGTTGGCACCCTCTCATGACAGAGTGACTGACTGCAGGTGCTCCGCATCGTCTCATTCGCAGTCAGAAGGGCCTCCTCACAGCCAGCCCAACGCGTCACGCCGTGGATGACCTCACACACGCACGACACCACTAACGCCACCCACACTGAAACACCGCAGCTGAGTGCCGGCGCCCTGTGTGTGTGTCTGTGTCGGCTGTTTTGTGTTGAATGCAGACTAGGCGTCGTCTGCGGGCGTCAAGTACGGCTCGGGCAGTGGGCGACAGGCTGCATACGGTGACCACAGAGGCAGAGTGTCAATCAACATCCCATACACTTACTGCCAGTCGTCCATGTCTGTCTGTTTGTCTGTCTGTCTGTCTGTCTGTGTGTGTGTGTGTGTGTGTGTGTTGATGAGGCTGACCTCAGTGCTGTGGCTTGTCATTGACAAGGAGGTCATGAGCTTGCTGAGGCAACCACAACCGGCTCCTGCCGCCACACGTCCTCCACCCAGAAGCCACGTGCTCATCGCCCGCTGATGCTGCGCTGAGCACGATGACCCGGCTGGCCGCGCGACTGCACCCTCACTGCCGTGAGTCGGTCACGACCGGCAAGTCGGCGATGCGGAAACTGACCGACAGACGTGACGACGCCAGGCCATCAGTGCGGCCTCGGTGGTCGGCTGCAGGGCCGCTCCCCGCGGCCCGCCGCGTCAGCACCAGAGCCCCGCCGGCCACCATCGGTGCATGCCGCGTCACCGAGCAGAGCGGCGGTCTCGTCGACCGTCCCATCCTCTCATCATCCTCTCATTTCATCGAGGGGGCGACCAAGACTCGACAGCTGTGACAGCGTCGCAGATGGCTGCCCCCCGTTGGCTTCAGCGTCGAACAGGTATCTGCACAACCAAGGAAGGCACACAGGAAGGATGAACGCCTCGCAGGTGAGTGTGGATGTGCCGTGCCCACGTGTTTCAGGTCATCGCATCGCTGCTGATTTGGCTGCACCGCACCTGTATGGCTGCCATTGAGCCGGGGGGTCATCCAGCTGCCTCGGGGGACCGCAGAGAGGCCTCCATCGAGGGCAGTTCTGCTGTGGGGGCCGATGCATCACAGAAGGAAGGCGTAAGTGGATGAAGCGGTGGGTAGACAATGAAGGAGCCTGCATACACACACAGAGCAGTGATGCAGCTCGTGCGTAGCTGCCCGCCTGGTGCATTCTGAGCGTGCGCCTTAAGCACCTCGCGTGAAACAACAGAGTGAGCGGACCTCCGGCCTGCCTTTCGTTTTTGGACGTTTGGCGCTGCGGGGCACGTCGTGAGCGATGGAGGGGAGCCTCTCCATGCGGGATCTCCCTTGCCGCCACCCCTTTTGCCTTGCTGTGCCGCAGAAGATTCTTCCTGCTGTTGCCTCCCATCCGATGGCCGCCTCCAGGCATGTGTGGCACCCTCGTCCTCCACCATCAGCGCGTGAGGGAGGGCAGCAGCGGCGACTCAGCGGACCTCTCCAGTTAGCAGAAGGACCCCCTCTCGTGCACCTCAGGCAGCCACAGCAACAACCAGGCAAGGAATGAGGCAGGAGAGGACGGAACTTGCCTCGGCGAGAAAAAATATGTGTATTCCGGCGTGGTTGTCGCTTGCGTTGTCTCTTGACTTCTCGACACTCGACGGCGCCGTGTGAGCGGATGGCAGCCCAGCGGCCATGAAAAAGCGATGGGAGGCCAATATGGCACAAGCGGGGTGGGAGAAGGCGGAATGAGGACTTCGGCGGGGATGCGTGGACGGGTTATGCAGTGTTGATGGACACTGCACAGTGACGCGTGTTGGCTGCCGCTGGGCGTGTAGAGGCCTTTGGCATCGATGCAATGGCGTCAGAGAGGTAGGATAAGTCACGACTCGAATGAATGTTTGTGTTTGCGTGATCAGGTCGAGTGGATCGCGCCCCGCTTCGGCCGCCATCATCAAAAGAGCTAAGTTTTCGCCTGTTTGACGAGTTTGCGTCCAGTTGTGCGACGCCCGCATCCCCCTTCCCCAATCCCCCGTCCCCCTCGCCCCTCCCTCACAGAAAACCAACATCCGCCGGTCCGAAGCCGCCGGCAGGAGTGCTGAGGCGCCATGCCGCCCTCAGATGGCTTCCGAATAGCCAGCCGGGTGGAGTTGCGGCACCAACACCACCCGGCTACCATGCCCGTCCCCACAAACGCCATCGCGGTGAGGACGGGCTATAGGGTGGCGGGGCATTCGTTCCGGGACCATAGGGAGTATTATGGGTGGGTCCTTCACTTCTCGGCCCGCCACCACTACACTAATACACACGTGGTAAGTTGTGAATGAGCAGATAGCAGTGCATGCAGCCATCCATCCATCCATCCATCCAATATGCACAGACGAGTACGTGCAGCCGTCGACGCGTAATGGATGTGTTTGCTGTGTCTCTTGGTCCCTGCAGACGCTCCGACTGGACTACTACCTGCCCTACATCATAGACTATCTAAACTTCACGGGTAACGTCATCCACACACGCGGCGACTACAATTATGAGTGAGCAGATGCCTCCACACATCCATACGTGTGTGAATGCATGATGGGTGTGTCTGGTGTGTCTGGTGTGTCTCTCGCCCCTTCCTGCCTGTCTGCAGATGGATCTTTATACGGGAGCTGGTGACGATATGGAACCCGCAGCCCTGCCCCGAGCTGCGGGTCCGTCTGTACGTGTGGTTTAGGTGCGTAGCCGTGCCGATCGCTCTCCAGATCCGCGCGTCGCTGGGCCAGCCCACCATCCTGCCTACCGGCAACATGGACCTGTACAGAGCTGCGGGTCGCTGGTGGGTGCGCATGGTGGGCGGCCCAGATGTGCTCATCCCGGAGAGATATGGTACACACACAAAAGACAAGGCAAGGCAAGGCACTGGTGTCTGTTTGTATTTTGTGTTTTGTTTGTGTATGTTGTGTGTACCAATCAGGAATGCACTGGCAGCTGAGCCAGATAGCGCAGAACGGGGTGCGTGCTGCACCGGGTGCTGTGGCGGCCTACCCTCGGCAGCCCAACGCCAACACGCGCCAGCAGCTGGCCCACCAGCTGATAGCCAACTCAACGGCTGTGGCTGGGTACCAGTAGCTGGTGCACCAGATCATCAACAACTGCCAGCACCCGGGGCAGCACAACCAGCAGGTGGTCGATGTGGCCTACCTGTTCACGCACCCCCGTTTCTGCATAGGGCTGCAGTGTTTCCTGTTCGGCCACATCCCCCTCCCCGACCCCACTGACAGTGCCGGCCCACCCCCTGGACTTCAGCAACAACCAGCTGAACCATGTGCTGGCCCGGCTGCTCCAGTGACACCCGCTGCCGCCGCCGCCGGACGATGACCTGATCGAGCACGCCATCGAGGTGTGCCACACCCATCGGCGGCTGTGTGAGCTAGGGCGGCTGAGGCTGTCAGACACGGTGAGGGAGGTGGAGGCCAACATGGGGTACCACTGAGAGCGGCTGGAGTGTCGATGAGTAGGTGTTTGTTGTCGATGAGTAGGAGGGAGTTGTTGTCGATGAGTAGGTATTTGGTTGGTTTGTCGGCACGACCACCAGCTTGCCGTGTGGCCTCATGTGTGTGATGTGCCGGTCACACACGTGAGGCTGGTAGGCTGGTGGGTCGCTGCGGTGTGAGAAAGAAGTGGACGTAGAGAGGTGGATCGACGGAACAAGGGGCGTGAGTGAGTGACATCCACCCACTTGATAGGGTGTGATGGTGTTATTTGTGACGGTACGGTTGGCGGGCCGGGCTGCCTCTGTGTGCGTGGGACTGCATCCATGGTTCGTGCATCCTTCTGTGTGGGACTTTGCGGGTGGATGAACCACATACAAAAGAAGTTACCCAATCAGTCCATCTGGCTCGATCCGACCACACAGGTGTCGACAAAGTCACACACACCACGCACACACACACGTCGTACGAATGAATGCTCATGCTACCTGCGCGGCGGTGAGGTGACACTAGCTAGAGTGGATGGTGAATGAATGAATCAATGAATGAGTGAAGGTCTCCTCGCTCATCCAAGCCATGCCATGAAGCGTCATGACTGAGTCGGTATATTCTGCACATGCACCCATATATATATATACCACATCAATTGTCTGTCATGGATGATGCAATCCAGTCACCATCAATCACGTCACGCACTGGCGGTCACCTCCTCAGAGACGGCAGGCAGTGACGTCCCCCCACGCACTCGACCAACACCCAATAGCCCTGGGAGACGAAGCATCACATACACATACACACACACTCAGTAGAAGTGCTCGTCATTGTAATCATCTGTCTGTACAGCCCCCCCGCCCCCACCCACCCACCTTGTCTGTCAGAAAGGTCCGCTCCAACGGTATGGTGATCATCCATGTGGTGTGATTGCAACCCGCCACCACGTGTCAATGACCGCCGTCTCCGCTGTGTGTGCGAGTGGTGATGAGAGTGGGGAGGGGGCCGCGCACCGGGGGACCGCTTGGACCACGCCCACATGGTGGCAGCGATGCCGGCGAAGAGGATGAATGCGGTGAAGACGACGACCAGCTTGACGTAGAGGCCCTGCTCGGTGACGGGCCCGCCCATGGTGTCGACCGGGCCGAAGTAGGTGAAATGGTTGTTGTGGCTGTCCTCTGAGCTGCCGAAATCCACACCATTGCATGACACCTCAACCTACGGACAGGCAGACACACACACGTGTGCGTGTGGCTTTGGTGCTCTCTCCTTCCCACCCTCCCTCACCCGCACTCGTATGCGGGGGGCCTTGACGCGGTAGTCGGCACCTGCACAAGCAACACAGGCAGGCAGGCAGGCAGACCAGACATCCATTGCTGCAGCCACGCTCACATACAGCCAGCTCACTTGTTTTGGGCGTGAAACACACGATGGTTGTCGGGTTTATCAACGCAGCAGGCGTGCTGCCCAGTGGCCCAAACCCACACCTGAGCCGGGATCGCTCGGCTGCCCACAAAGGGAAGGGGTGGTCACGGTCAGCACGCACCGTCATGCGGCTCGATCGTGTGAAGAGGCCTGATAGACATGCATGGATAAAATGACTGCATGCATGGTGTGTTGGGTGTTTGGCTGTATGGGTTAGCGCGGCACCTGCAGTTGGCTCAATCGACACAATGCGCGGCTGGCTGTAAAACAGAAAACTAAACCGACACAGACAGACCATTCAGCAGTCCTTGCACGGGGAGGGGTCATAGGCTGATAAAGGCTCCTCGTACGAGTGTCCTGTGTTGGTCCAGAGGTCTGTGCGATTCATGTGGCCGGCGAAGGTGATCTCGAAGTCGACACTCATGGGCAGCTGAGAGCCCTCGGGCAACGCAGGCGGGGCACTCACACAGCTGGATGGCAACACACACACACACACTTGAATGTACTGGGTTGTGTGTGTGCCCTTTGGTGCCCACGTGAGGATCGACGGAGAGACGATGTGTGCAGGCACCTGCACCTGCCCGAAGCGGCACATTGGGTAGATCCTGAGTGAGGGCCACACACACACAGATGTGTGTACGGTACGTGTGCAACCCGCCCTTCCGCTGACACATCCACCAACCAACCCACCCCTGTCTCTGCAGCTCTGCGTCGGTGTTTGGATCGGGGAATCCTTTGCCGTTGACACGAACGAGCGTCCCGCCCTTGACAGGACCACTGTCCACATCCAAGTAGTCGACCTCATAGGTGCGCAGCGGCTCCGGTGAGGCGGACCACGACACACCATTGAATGACAACCTGCATGACCCAGACACATCCAACACACCACACCACACCATCCATCCATCCATTCAGTCATTACATACTTGAGTGTGAGCTGTTCTTGTCCGTTGTGTATGGGCGGCATGTAGCAGTGGGCGCCCGTGCCGTTGCTCTTGTCCACGACCTCGACACGAGTCGACACGTACTCCCCAAGGGCGCACACAGGCCGGCAGTTGAGGCATCGAACCGCACCATCCAGGTGAGAGCCCGTCAGGTCGATGCGCACAGCCTTGTGTGCAGGCAGCAGCCGGGGCGACACGCCGTCGACCTGACAGACAGACGCAGCCACAATATATCACTGGTGACCATACCATATTGTGGGCGGTGTCGTCGTGGGTAAGTACCTTGGGTGCGGTGAAGTATGAGATTCCGCCGACAAAGAAGAAGTCATCAGGTGTGCCCCCATTCGTGAGGGCCACGGCGAAGGGCACCTGCTCGGTTGCTCGAGAGGGGGCGGGCGGGCAGGTACACCGGATGTGTGTGTCGTCACTACTGGCAGCCCCGAAGGTTCGAGAACCGAACCGGCAGACCGGGGAGGCACCCTGTGTATATGTATACAATACACACATGGGAAAGATGAGATGGCAATGCAATCAATCTGATGAGGCGCGGCACTGCACTGCACTGCACTCTCACGTGGAATCCTTGTCCAGTGACGGTGACGAAGTTGTTGGTCGACAGACCACCAGCTGGCGCCGCCAGGGGGCTGTAGCCGTCAAGCGTGAAGGCTGTGATGTGTGCATCCCCGTCGATGGCGTGCTGTTGGTCGTATGTCAGGGACACCCGGACGACGGAGCCTGGCTTCAACTCAGGGGCGATGCAGTTGACTGAAGAACCATTGCTGACACCAACACAAACATACCCACACCCACATCCGATCCATCGGGTGGGATTGTCCGCCTGTGCATAGCGTGTCCGTGTGTACTGCATGTACCCGTTCAGCGCCGGGAGGTCCATTGTGCCTGTGGCTTTGACCTCAGCCGCCCCAACGAAAATGGCTCCTTTGTCGACGCAGAACCGACATGTGGGCAAGGTCGCCCCCTTAACCAGCTTGTCGCCCTCCAACCTGCACGCCATCCCACATAGAGATGCCGACACGCGGATGCGGTGCATGTGTGGCGAGTGTCCCTCCCGCTGCCCTGCCCGCCGACCTGAGCTTCTGCGGTCCATTGTGTGTCGACACGAAGGAAGGGCTGACACGGTGGAGCTTCGCACCTGCATGTTATGTATCATGTGTGTCCCTTTGTGAGGGTGAGGCTGAACGTGGCATGGCATGGCAGCCATTTGTTTTATGGTGGGTTGAGGGAGGACCTTGGTAGGAGAAGAATGGGACGGGGCTGGCGACGAAATCGACGCCGTTGAGCGTCACGGACAGGGGCACTGGCCCACTCTGACGTCAGGGTGGGTATGATGACACGTCGTGGACAGCAAGCACAGCACAGCACAGCACAGCAACCAATCCGATCTGGGGGCGTATAGTATATATTTGTGTAGGCAAGTGCAGTGCAGTGCTCGCCTCGCCTTGGTGAGTGGGGGTGTCCTGCACACCACCGATGTCGCCGTCACCTGCTCAGCTCTCACCTATGCACACACATCAGTCACATCACATACACACAACGTGCACACTGAGCATGAAGACGCTGAGCCGAGCCACCTACTTTGGTGTCGATGAATGAGCATTCCGTGACAGCACCGTCCGCCACTGCACCGCCAGCCAGCACAATGAATGAATGAATGCCTCCCGGAATCTGGAGGGCCAGACGTGGGTGGCCCCTACCCACACACTCACTGAGGTGGCTGCCGGTGATAGTCATTGTAGTGCCGCCCTCTTTTGGCCCTGCGTCATTGTCCAGAAGTGTAAGGGTGGGTGAGTGATTCTGGCAGGGCGGGGTGTGTGTCTGCCTGCCGCCCCGCCTCACCAATGGCTGGATGAATGTGTGTGATTGCCGGTGTTGGTAGTAGGGTGAAGGGCAGCCGCTCGCTGCTGAATGACGCAAGCCGGATGGCCTCCGCCCGGTCACCGATACCCTGCATGAATGAACAGACCACACACAGACGGAGGCACACGAATGTCTGTCTACCCACTGCACTGCTGTGCGGGTCTGGAAAACCTCCCTTAGACCAACCCAGTCGAAATTGGTGGAAATGTCGACATCAATGGTCACCGGGGCTGCACAGTGCAGGCGGTGCAGGGCACATCACATGCATGGCATGTAGCCTCTTGCAGTGAGTGCAGCTGAGGTGAGTGAGCTGACGTGACGTGCCGTGCCTGTGAGTGTGCCATTGGCGTGTTTGGGAGTGACGAAGGAGAGCTTGGTGTTTGTAGAGGGGTCCATCGTGGGCAGCAGCACGTCGCCGCCTGAGTGAGTGACCCAAACATTACATAAGGATGGATGGATGGATGGATCGATGGATTCATGGAGGTAGGTACCGAATCTGACAGCAGTGGTCTTCTTATGGAAGGGCGAGTCGTCCGTCTGTTGCACCCGTCACCCACACGCAAAACACACAACACACGCCAGCGACGAGTGAGCGGCACACAATTCGACCCATCCACCATAGCGCCTTACAGTTGTGGCGGCGACGCGTGTGCCTCCGGTGTCGTAGCCAATGGTGGGTGAGAGAGACCGCAACTGCACACGCACACACACACATGCATCCAGTATGACATCACTGCGCACCTCCATGCCTTTGGATTGGCCACAAAGTCGACAGCAACCGATGACGCATCCCCAGGCGCCTTGACACCTACTCACTCAAGAAAGGACAAAATAGTCCTGCATCGTCAAGTCATCGGCTCAACTACCGGTGATCGAGAGCGATAATGACGACCGTTTTGGTGTGTCCACAGCGGGAGTTTCGACAGCAAACACGGCCCTGTATGCGGCTCCCGTATGAGTGTCACCCTGCATGTCAGCGAGCACAAAGAGGAACGAACCAGACACCATCGCTGTCCCATCCGCCCCGCCCCGCCCACCGTTTGCGCGTTGAGTGACAGGAGGGATGCAGCCGCCGACAGCTCGCCGCCCGAGAAGAGGACCCTGACAGAAACCAGCCAGCCGTTGCCATGGCCGTGGCGTGTGTGGTATGCGCAGGTTTGTATATAGGGTCACCGAGTGGGTAGTGATGCGGCAAGGGGATAGGTCCACTCAGTGGAGGGCGGCAAATCGACCGTCACGCTGACCACCTGTACAGGACAGACACGTCAGTCAGCGGCAAAGGTCATTCATACACCACACACACACGTGCATCACATCACACCCCTCACCGCGCCTCCTCTGATTGGCACTGCTGAGGGACTTACACCCCGCACTACGGGCTCCTGTCTCGAAAGGAAGGCGCACACTGCACTTGCTTCTGCGTGGATATACCTGCCTGCCTGCCTGCCTCATGCTAGCTCAGCTTACATCGATGAGAGTGAAGGGTACCGCTGATGCACTCCATGTGGTGCCCCCGTTGCAGCTGACCCACACCCATAGGGGGCCCTCGCCCACACGGAGGGGGCCACCAACGTGGCCGGCAGACATGGCCTGAATGAAGCAAAGAAAGAAACAACACATCCATGCCATGCATCCGTCCGCAGCACAGCCAGCAACAGATCGCCATGGATTGGACGCGTTCCTTCCTCTCAGCTCACCTTGACGATGTCAGCGATTCTGGGAATGTCGCAGGACACCTCTGTTGGACTCACGTACCTGCAAGTAGGTAGTGGGCGGAAATCGGCACCCCCACCCTTTTTACGTACTTGCCGCTGACGACGCAGTCGGTCTGTCCGCTGCACAGGAAAGGCACTGCAGCAGAGGGGAGGGGAGGGAGCGTGGGAGTGACGGGACGGACGCATGGGCCAGCATATCCGCTGGCTGACCTTTGCCGGACCCGCTGTCGGTCAGGCGACACTTGACTGAAGCAGCAAACACATCAATCACACGCAAACCATGGAGGCCCCCTCTCCCTCCCAAGTCAACGTGTTCCCTCACCTCCCTGGCCGGAAGGACCGAACCCCACTCCCTCAACCTGTTCCATGCACACACAACAAGAGAGCATGGATGGATGGATGGATGGATGGTCAATCCCTTGTGTTTGTTCTCACTCCCTCACTGTGAGGTCTGTGGTGCCAACCGGCACGTATGGTGGTGTGGACGCGAGTATGGGTTGGCTGAGCGACCACACGAAGGGTGTCTCCGAAACGCTCCACAGCACTCCGTCAACCGTTACAGAGACGTTCACGGCTCCCGGACTGCCCCATGGCGGCAGACGGCACCTTATCTCGCTCTCAGACACAAACCACGCCGTCACATCCTGCATATGGCATGATTAATGTGTGTGAATGGTGGGAGTTGGAACGGTACCCCCACTCTGCCTGTCTGTCTCACTCACCTGGTGCTGGTGGAATGCGTTGTGCCACCCTGGTGCCACAATCGGACGGCCCCCACCGCCAAAGCGACACTTGAGGTGAGGCGTGCGCCTGAACCCATGACCATACACAGATACCTCTGCTGAGCCACACCGCACACAGACAGACAGACAGACAGAAGAGACAGAGCTATGCTTTACTTCACGGACTGTCCACCAGAGCATGTGTGTGTAGTACATGGTGGTTTGTCGATGTCTGCTGCCTGTGGCGTGAGGCCCTTGACCACCGGTGGCTGCACGTACTCAAATGCCGCTGCATACGGATGGCTTGCGAAGAAGTCCCGGCCGTTGGTCGACACCGACAGCGACACCTCCTCGCTCCAATGCCACTTGGGGGTCAAGCAGTGCACTGATTCCAATCCACACACACACAGGGAAGGGAGCCACCCAGGGGGACACAAATCTTAAGCTCTGTTCCCCTCATCCCTCTCTCGTACCAACGTTTCGCCGCACTGCTTTGCCCGCCATAATCACCGTCTCTTTGTCGCGAGTGAATCGGCACCACACGGGCAGGTCGTCAGCAAGAGTCAGGCCGGTGCCGACCACTTCAACCAGCTCGCCGCCCGCAATGGAGCCTCTGGCGGGCACCACTGCACGGATGACTGGCGGGGGCAGGACGGCAATGGCAAGTCCATCTGCTTTCACACACACAAGCGATGAGATGAGACCTTCCATACAAAGGAAGCCAGGCGGTCATCTTATCTTCCCAATCTTTGTATATTGACGCACCTCTCTCTTTGCTGCCGATGACGTCGACGCCATTCAGCGCTAGTGTCTGCACAGAAAGAATACCACGCATGTCATGATCACACACATAGGCGGATCGGATGGGGTCCGAAGACCTGTGCGTTTGGGTGTGGTGTGGTGTGCCAATCTAACTAACCAGGCGGTATGCGCCGGCCAGCACTTTGGGCACGGTGCACTCGACCAGCACCTCTGACGCTTTCATGGCCTCGGGCAGCATGTCTGCCCCTTCCTTGACGTCTTTTCGCTTCACCACACGGGCTGCAAGCGAGTGCATGCCAAACCTGACATATATGACAGGCACCGCACACGAGGACGCAGACGAAGAGTGAGTGACACGCAGGCCGGGCCGGGCCGGCGGCATGGCATGTCATGTGGCCTGTGGGTTGGGTTGGCTCGGCTTACATGCAGGCCGGGCTGCACGTTTCCCCTTCTGCGGTCGGCAAGTTGTCAACTGCATGCGATGCACCCACAGGACAACACATGAGCCAGCCGTATGTATGTGTGTAAATGGGCCAGGCCACCTCTGAGCAGCAGCACTCCTCCGGACTCGTATAGGACGGCAGGGAATGCCTCGGCGAGGAACGGAGGAGTTTCGGATGACCCTGTGTAGGTGAAGGGCAGCGGTGGACCGAACCATCGACGGCCGCCATCGATGGACATCTGCACGTCGGCCCCGCCATATCCCGCTGGTGACGTACAGAGGGCTCGAGTAGCACTGAATGATATGAAGCAAGAACACAGAAAGACACACAAGCACGGTGGGTACGGTCAGACAATTGAGTGTGCCCTGCCCGTGTGTGGATGTCATGTCGACCTGAGTATCTCCATGGGAGTACTTGTGCCTCCGAACCGACACAGAGGCCGCAGCTCAACACCCTCCCCTCCAATCCTCCCCAATGCCCGCGCGTAGGCCACCTTGGCGACCACCTTGGCGACGCTGACACTCTTGTTGACGGGCTCATCGACGTACGGCAGGCCCTCGGCACTGACCTCAACCTGCATACAAACACATATGCACGTCACGTAGGTAAGTGGGTGTGTTGCTGGTACGGTAGGTACTGCTTCATGTACCTACCTGAGTGCCTCCCGAGTAGGGGCCGCATGACGGTGTGACGCGTGTCAACCTCGGAGGGTCGTAAAAGAGGAAGGGGAGAGAGCGGGAGCTCTGACATACATGACAACAGACAGCACCGACGCACACACAGGGAGGGAGGGAGGGAGGGAGGTCAGAGTGAGAAGGCGCCGAGCCTACCTCAGCCACGTCTGGCAGCACGAGAGCGAAGTCAACCTGGTCAAGAAATCACAATTAGTGGTGAGCTCAGCTCGCTGGTGTCCCTCCCTACACTTATCTCCCTCTCTCAACCTCTTTTTGCCCACCGGTCCTGGTTGTGTCATCTTTGGCGTCACGCACAGCAGTAAGGAGCTTGTCAAAACCTGCTCAGTCAGTCACGACAGACGTCAGAAACACACACCATACTACTACACTACAGGCATGCTCGTCCCCCCATGCCTTGGGTACTTCCATACCTTGGCTGGCACGGTGACACCACCGAAACGACACACAAGGCGGGGCAATGTCAATGTCGCAGAGGGCGATGGAGATGGGGATGGAGCCGACGCAAACATGTCAAAACCCACACCTGCACTCAACTCACACCACACACACACATGCACATGCATACGCACACACACACAGATAGAGTACATGGCTATCAGAGTGAATGGCGGCGTTCATTGCCACGTTACGTTGGCTGACCCGACCCACCTGTGACGTTGATGGTCTCCTGGCCGTCCGTGACAGCCAACTGCGGTGCCAATGAGAGCGCTTCAGGAGGCGCCGCGAATAGAAACGAGTATCCAGTGTCCATAAAATCACCCTGAGTGAAGCTCACCTACGCACAGCGCAGTGCACGGGGCACACACACCAGGTAGCAGCACAGCAACCACCCCACCCCACCCAGCTGTGTGTATCTATCTTGACACGACACACGTACGTATATCCTGAGCGTCACTCGCTCATACGAGGGAGGCGTCCGACAGCTCAGACGAGTGGGGTGATCAACAATACTGCATGCCATGCCATGGCATGCCATGGCACACACAAACACACAAAACACACAACGCACTCTATGCTATGCCTCCTCCAGCTCAGCTAGTTCGGTTCATGTGCGTCGTACGACACTCACGTGGCCATGACTTCAAAAGCATCAGAGAAGTCCCCAAATCGACACCGCGGCTCAAGGCCAGCACTGGCACCCGCCACTTGACTGTCGCTGCCATTTGTAGAGGGGGCGGGGGGCATCTTTGGCAGTCCGCTGGTCGTTATCACCACCTCTGTGCCGCCTGCATACAAAGGAGTGACGTGAGTGACACCATGGACAGACTCACTCACACAGATCCGATTTGGGTGTGGTCTTAGCGCCGTGGTCACACACCTGTCCGCGGGCCCATCAATGGCGCTGCGCCAGTGAATGTCACCTCTGCCCCGCATTGAAGCAGGAGAGTGGCGTACGTCAAAACCACGATAAGAATCAGCCGACGACAGAAGGCCGTCATGAGTGCACTCCAGGTCTGAGCTGCTGATCTCGACAGACAGAGATCTAACGCATCAACACAAGCAGCTGTCAGGGCACCTGTAAGGCACGGGCAGGGGCAATTCATCTGCGTGATGTGATGAGTGGATAGATAGGCATGCCTGCCTGCCTGCCTGCGCGTCCATACCGTCCTACCTACTCATCCATCGCAAAAGAGTCGAGCCGTCAACGGCAGGAGATCTGTGATCAGTAAGGTGCGATGCGGCACACTGTGCGTCGGGAAGCGCATCGCCATCGCCGTTTCAAAAGCTCGCAAATGCGGATCGGCGGGGAGGACGAAAGAGAAACGGCAGATAGAGTGTTGTCGAACAACCTGCTGCGTCGGTTTCACACCCATTGTGATAGCCATCTAGATGGCTTGAAGCCGCGTCAGTCAAAGTAGAGCGCATCTTGCGGCACGATGGCAGAAGGTAAGATCCTGATCTTGATGGCGTCACGATACGGCGTGCAGCTGCAACACGCACATATCTCTGTTTGCGCCGATGGCTATTGTCTGTCTGTGTGCTGTGCCTGTCAACCAGACCGTGCGTCACGCGCTGAGCGGAAGCGCTTCGAGGCCGAGGTGGCTTCGGTGCTGCAGAGCTTCGAGAAGGCCAAGGAATGGGCAGATCTCAGCAACTGCCTTCAAAAACTCCACAAAGTAAGTACGCTCGGCCAAGCCGAGAGGAAAATGACTTGCCTCTTCCGCACAACCAAACCAGCACGTGTCGTGTGTGTGTGTGTCGTGTTCTGCTCTGCCTCGTGTGCCGTGCGTGTGTCTTTGGGTATTCTATTTATTCTGTCTGCAGGCGTTCCAACGTCCCAGCAAGTTGACGGTGGTGCCGCTGAAAGAAGTCGTGTCAAAGCGGCTGGCGCAGTGCCTCAACCCTGCGCTGCCCAGCGGCGTACACACCAAGACACTCGAGACCTACGCATGCATATTTGACCGAATTAAGGTAGGGAGCATAGCAGGGGAGGGAGGGAGGGAAGACGGCTCCTGGCAAGGGGGGCAAGCCGACCGTGTGTGTGTGTGTGTTGTGATGTGTCTGTCTGTCAGACCGACGGGCTGTGTGCCGATTTGGCCATGTACAGCAGCGGCCTCTTCCCATTTTTTCAAAATGCAGCCACACACGTGAGTCACCCACCGATGGTGCCTGGCCTGGCTGGTCTCGTGTGTGCGTCGGTGGAGTGCATCATATCTGCGCTGTGTGTGTGTGTGCACCCCTTCAGGTGAAGCCTTTGTTCCTTGACGTGTTGGAGCGGCACTACATCCCTCTGGGTCGGTGCAGTGCAGCACAGCACACTCACGCGCATCGCATACGCACCACGTGTGCTGTGCACTGCCATGAGCGCCAGTCAAATGCTGGTCTGGTCTGTCTGTAGGTCACCGGCTGTTGCCCTGCCTGACGGGTCTGCTGGTGTGTCTGCTGCCCGGCGTGGAGGACGAAAAGACCGACTCGTACGACAGGTACGGTACGTAGCTGAGGCCATGGATGTACCCTCCCTTCCCTGGTGAGCAAGCAAATCTGGTGTGCTGTCCCTGCCCTGCGCCACCAGGGTGTTTTCGACGATATTGCGTATCGGTGAGTGTGTGGGCGAGGGCAACTTCATGTGTGCCCTGTGGCTGATCCTGCTGCGCACCTCGCGCACCCGGCTGCCGGCGCTGACTGTGCTGTCGTCCAAGATGGCCCCCTCCCTGCCGGACATGGCCCCCGACCGCATCGACCTCCTGCTGCCTGAGCGGGGCGTGCTTGTGCTGCGCAGCTTCGAGACGGTGTTCGAGGACACCAACGTGCTGGTGAAGCGGTCGCTGCTCGACCTGCTCATCAAACACTTCCCCTTCTCGTCACACATATTCGCTTACGACCAGAAGGTGCGGCTGTTGAGGAGTGCGCTCAAGCTCTTCACGCAGAGAGAGTGGTCGCTGACCAGGTGAGCGAGAGAGGTGTGTGATATCTGGTGTGGTGGATGCGATCAATGCCATTGCACTGCACGTCAGGATGTCATAATTAATGTGTGTATCTTAATATGTGTGGGCGGGCCGTCCCGTGCGTGTGTATGTGTGTTATGTGTGTTAGGCGTTTGATCCAGTGGTTGACGCACCAGACGGACTCAATGGACACGATCGACCTGTCCTACTTCAAGACACAAGTGCGGTCAGAGCTCTGCATGGCCATGAGGGAAGAACTCAGGTCTGTATACACCACCCCACGAACCCACACACAAAGCCATGCATTGCATACCGGGCGGGTACTACGGTCCACTCACTCCACAGGTGTCAGCCCAAGACGGAGTCAGCGGCAGTGCTGCCATTGCACGTCTTGGAGATATTCCTAACAGAGGTGGAGGGGGTCAGCGGGGTCGTCATGAGAGACCTTAACGTCGCCGTACTCGTATACACCAAACGGTAGGTACCGGGGGACGACAGACAGACAGCACAGCACGGGTGTGTACCAGTTATCCAATGTGTGTGTGTGTGTGTGTGTGTGTCAGTGAGTCGTCGGGTGCGTCATGGAGCAAGGCCGTGTTGGAGGAGGCCCAGGCACTGTTCCACCCCCGCACCACAGACCCCATGTGGGTGTGGGAATCGCTCGATAAACTACTCCAGGTAGGTCAGCAGACAGACCTGCACACACACACACAACCATCCATCCATCCATCCATGTGTGTGGCGGCCTTTTGCTTTGTAGGATCAGCTGCACTCGGAGGAGCCCAAGAGCTGCATCGAGGCGTTGCATCTGAGCGCCCTGTACATGGACAAGGTCCTCACCGAAGCCGACCAGCCCACATACGACTGGAACCTCTTCAACCTACTCACTCGAGCCATCAAGTGAGTGCCATGCGATGCGATGCGATGCGATGCGATTGACCTCAACGCACCCACCCAATCCACCAGCCACATAACATACATGTCTGTCTATGTCTTCCTCCCTCCCGTGTGTTGTGTTGTGTTGTGTTGTGTGTCGTGACAGGGCGTTGCGTCTGATATCCCCGTCGTACGAGCACCTGTCGCAGCTGTACGACACGCTGACCTTCTCCATGAACCTCCTCACCCGGCTGCAGCACATCCGCACCGCCCCCGTGGACCCCAACCACCCCGCCATCCCCACCATGCCCCCGTCGCTGGTCTCCCCGGGCGCTCTGTACGTCTCGCCGCCATCGGCTCTCGTGCAGGTCGAAAAGGAGTTCCTCGAGGGCATCGACAGGTACCTCACGTCGGTGGAGAGAGGCCCTCACCACAGCTGATGTGGTCTGTGCGTGAGGGAGGGAGGGAACTGTGTGCATGTTCGTTGGGTTTGTGTTACGTTTCGTTCAGCTTTCTGGAGTACTTCGAGGTCGTGGTGCGTGGTCTGCACGCCAGCCCGGCGCAGGCCACAGAGACCATTCTCCAGTCGTACGAGCTGCTCAGCAACCTACTGGTGTGACTGACTCACTCCCAGATACACACGACCAAGCAAGGGGACGTGGAACATACACATACATGGATGCGCTCTCTCTGCGGCTGGCCTGGTGCGGTGCCTCTCAGGTTGGCTTGTGCAAGGTCGAGAACTGCCTGGCGACACAGGCCCCGCGAGGTCAGACGCCATGGACAGAGCTGCCCAGATGGCTCATGGCCATACTTGCGTGCTGCCAGGTACGGAACGGATTGTGTGCCTGCCTGCCTGCCTGCTTGAGTGTCTTTGGGATGTGTGTGTGTGTGTGTGTTAGGTGTCTGAGGTGGCGATCTGCTGCCGTGCGATCCGTACGTTTGTGGATCTGCTGCAGGAGGGGCTCAGTGAGGTCCGCGTCAACTACATCATACTCGAAACCGCACACTGCGACGTAAGCCACACAGCCCCCCCCCAGCCACCCCACCTGAGACATATAGCAACCAACCGCATACATGCCATGCCATGTACGTCACGCATGCCATGTCGGTGTGCGTTGCGTTTGTGTGTGGATGTCATCCATTCATCCATCCATCCATCTCTGCCTCTCTTCTCTCTCTCAGGATGTGGTGTCCCACCTGTGGGAGTGTCTCGGCGAGGCCTTTGAGGGCTCCCACTCAGAGGTGGTCACGCTGCTGCTCGACCTCCACAGGCTCACCGAACCACTCAGACCGGTCTGTCAGTCAGTCAGTCCGCACCCGTGGACTCGTGGACAGACAGGACACACCGATAGATAGGATACACCAACCATACCGTATCCATGCCAACAATCCGTCCGTTATGTGTGTGGTTTACGTTACGTTGTTGGCATGGCAGGATGTGGTGGGGAAGGTGCTGGCAGCGTCGCTGACGGACCCCTCGCCCGAGACGCGGCTGCACAGCGTCAACCGATACGCCACTCTGTGGAAGTACTCACACATACAGCAGCCAGAGCAAGAGGTGGGTATGAGCAGAAAAAACCACACCTCAACCTCACGCACAGCACAGGGGGATGGGATCGTCACGGCCGTGTGTGTGTGTTATGTGTGTGTGTTGTGTATGCTGTCTGTCGTCAGGTGTTCCCTGCGGCCATGAAGCTGGTGTTGGACTGTCTGGACGCCACCGAGCCTGGACTCAGACACGCCAGCAGGTCGTGGGTGTCCCACGCGACGCACCACCTGCCCCATTTGTTGGACCCCCTGTTTGAGGAGCTGCTGGCCAAGGACACCGCCCGCACACAGCCGCCCGCCCGCACCTACATCGCACAGTACGACACAGCGCGCATCCTTTACGTATTCGAGAAACTCAGCGCCGTGCTCAGGTGAGGCGAGTCGTCTCGTCAGACACCATTGAAACACTCACAATAAGGGCACTGACTGCTCCTGTGTGGTGTGGTGTGGTGTGGTTCATGTATGTCAGGTCCGAGCAGCACCTGTTGCTAGAGCAGATGCACACCAACTACGTGTCATACCACATCTTGTGGCACAACGCACATCAGACCGTCTGCCTCCCCGCCGACGCCTCCCCGTCTTCACAGCCCCCCAACAACCGACTCAGCCCATCCTTCGCCTCACAGGGGTCACTCCCACTCCTCGCTGAGGAGGGCGGGCCGTCAGCTACTGTCATGGTTCGAGGTGGGGGAGATAAGGGTGATGAGATGGAGCTGCAGTGTGGCGAGCTGGCGGTTGTTGACTACGTCGATTTGTCTGTTGTGACGGCGCTGAGGTAGGGAGGTCAGCTCAGCGAGGGAGGAGGAAAGTGTATGTGATGTGATGTGCTGTGCGCATGGTTTGCTCTGCTGTCTGTGTGTGTGTGTGGTGCAGGTT